TCGAAAAATTTTAGGGGAAAAAGGGAAAGATGAAAAACCAGCCAGTATTGAATTATCAGCCAACTCTTTAGGCTACCAGCACGTGCTCCTTGGACCCACCTCTGCTCCATTTGGCACTTGGGTAGTGTTCTGGTCTACTGTTGGTAAATTCAGCAGCAGTTATTTATGTAAGTCCATCAAAACACCTTTTGTTAAAAGAACTGTGTGACATAATTTTTGAAGTGGCTAAACAGTATTTTCCCTAGTGGTGAATTTGAGGTCCACAGAAAAGTGCAGTGCCCACCACTTTGAAGGGAAAAAAATATTTTCCAGTTCAGGCTTAGCTGTAGCTTCTTCAGAGTCTGATTTCACCCTGTCCTTGCTATTAAAGAAAACTGGTTATGGATAGGGTTTGGTTTTGATGCTCCATTTATAGCTGAAAATGTCAGCATGCCAAAATTATGATGTAAGCAACTGAGAGAAACATTCCCCAAATGTTTAACTTTGGGAAGCAGTACCTTTGCATCTACAGTGCATGGTCTGTGCCTGTATTTACACTGCAAATGTAATGCTCCTCAACGTTAGCCATGGCTTTTGAAGCTGGCAGCGGAGGGTTTTGCCAGAAGTTCGGTGTTCTGCCTTGGTGCCTGATGCCTGTGTGCTAGTTACCTTCTATGGCTTCTCAAGCCTGTCACTTAAGGTTTTGTCCTGGCCCTGAAGTTCTTAGATAGCTCTGAAAAGATATGCTTGAGATGTTAAATATAACTTGCAACTGTATTGTTCTTCTCAGTAAATACAGTAACTATGGTGCCTTTTTTGGTGATAGGATCAAGTTCCAGAATAAACTGGATGGTGTTTACGGAGTGAATTTGGAGAAGCTCCTCCTCAGCTGTGAAGCTGGAATAAGAGGTGTCTGTCCTAGGCAGATCAGAGAAAGAGACAAAGACAGGGCCTTGGATTAGATTAGATGGGAGATAAATCCTGTGAATCTGAGATAACACATCAAAGGCATAGATATGCACAACGAAAGTTGAGCTGAGGGGAGGGGAAAGAGCATGGGAACCGCACATATCCACATGTTTACCAGTGGTAATATGGTTAATGTGCAGCTCAAACAGGTGAGGAGCTCAGTGAAATACACCAGTAACAACTGAGGAATGTGATCTAGATGTCATCTGTCATGATATCAATTAGTTCTGTTGCTTGGCTACTGTTGGAGTATTGTGTTAAAAGTCCATAATACTAAAGGTGACTGGAATTGGTAATAAAGTTAAAACATGTCAGGTCTGTGTGGCTCTGGTATTACCAGTAACTTTATCCTGAAAATACTGATTTGTCACATTGGTACAAACAGCAGGTATCTATGTACTGGTGATACAGTGTTATATGGAACATAAAGATTAACAATACCAAGCTCTGCCTTAGCAGCATTGTGAGAGTACAGCACCTGGAACAGCTGAGGATGTTATCTGTTGTCTCTTAACACAAATTTCAGCTCAACTCTTCAAACAAACCCAACACGACTTTGTGATTGCTGATTCCGTGTTTATACATTTTCTAACTATTTTTCTTTTTCTTTCAGCTTTACCTTCAGGCCAGAATGAAAGGAGACTGGGCAAGACTTGTACGTCCTACTATACAATTTGGTCTCATTTCTGCATCTATCTACGTGGGTCTCTCACGTGTGTCTGACTACAAGCATCACTGGAGTGATGTTTTAACAGGACTCATCCAGGGAGCAGTGGTAGCTGTGCTCATTGTAAGTAGTTCCTGAGAGGTGTGTTGGGGTGTGTGAATGCTGCTTTTATGAACAGCACCTCAGAATTGCAGGCTGTGTTCAGAGGAAAGGAAACCTGTATTTCTTTCAAATGCTTCAAACATTGCTGAAGCAGGGAGCCTGCTCCTTGGACTGAGTGTAGCAACAGGGCTTTGGAGAGTGAGATAGGCTCTGGCCCACTGATGAGACAAGTGGCAGTTTTAGCTGTTGGACAAAAATAAATTGTCCCTGCCCAAGAGCTTTTCAAATAACCAAGATGGAAATGGCCAGCGGCAAATCCATGTGGGTCTCTATATAAATCATGCTTTTTGCTTCCCAACAAATTCTAAATCTCAAGTAGAATAGCAGAGTTGTTTACAAGATAAACAAGGGGAAAATGAAGGCCTTGAGGAATAAGGAGAGCATGAAAGTATCTGCCTTGCCCACCTTACGCAGCCTGTTATATCAGTCTGATGGGAAACTAAAACCCTTCACCATTTCTTGTGTGCATTTTGAGTACTAAAAATGTGCTTACAACTAAGCTTAGCTGTTCTGAGGAGTGAAAAACGATCCCAAGGAACAGACACTTGGCTAAACTTGTCACAGCAGGCCTGGTTGACTTTGTGGCAACAGTTGTGCTGTCACCAGAGTGCCATGGCTGGTGATTCATCCATGGGAAGGGATGAGAGAATTCTGGTTCAGAATTGAGAGTCCATTCAGGTCATACTGAAGAAGTCAGTTACCAAGAACTGAGGCTCAGCTGGGAAGAACCACCACCAAGATGGATGGTTTGTCAGCTTTCTCAAGTCAGAAAGGTTTTGGTTCATTTTAAGACAAAAGCTTTGTTTACTTGTTGCAATCAATAATCAAAACCAATCCTGGAGCAGTTCTGGGAACCCCCCTCAGGCTGCATTAGCTGTTACTAAGAGCTGCACATTAACTAAAACATAATCCTATGCCTCATTTTTGTAGTATCATGTTCTAAGCAGAAGAGTGCAGGGAGTACAAAACATCAGAGCATTTTTATTAGGCATTTTTATTAGGCAGACAAATTTAGTCAAGGATGTTGGATGGTTCAGGAGGTATCTTAGGCATGAAAAAAGTAGAAGGTGACATTACAGTGAACAGAGTTGAAAGGTGAGGAAATTATTTTTCAAAATACACACTACCACCAACACCCCATACTCTATCTGAAAGAACTGAAGAGTTCATCTCCAGAAACAGCAAGCTGAGGTAACAGCATGGTGGGGCAGCAACTGCAAATGGACCACTGCACTGAACTGAGCAAATCCAGCAGTGAAGTGGAAGCTGAAACTCCTCTGGTCTGTGGCTGAAGAAGTGTCCTGGGTCATCATCCAGCCGCATGATGGGCATGTTTTTTTCTGCCATAAAGTGTTCTGCAGTTCTCAGGTGTGCAGTGGGAGGGGAAAAGGTGGTGTAGGAAGGGAAGGGTTCATGACCGAAGGCTTGTCAATTATTGCACTCCTTGCAGCACTGTACTCAGCACAGCTACTAGTGTGACTTGGTGAACAGTGCAAGCTGCAGAACCGGATCAAGACACCCTGTCTCATGGTTAGGGAGCTGTTCCTTAGCTGTGAAGGAAGTGAGGTGCTATGTGCAAAGGAATGAAGGACTGTAGGTAGAATTGGCCTTACAGGTGCTGCACTTACTGGTGAGACAGGGGATGGGTGAGGTAGTAGCTGTGAGCCTTGCCAAGGTGAGGAATCCAAGCTTGGTTTAACCAGCCTTTAAAGAAATGCCAAGGAGAGTGGCAACCCAGAGAATAATAGTTGCTAACTACTGAACTCTGTTCCTTGGTGAAAGCACAAGCTCTCCTGTCCTGCTCCACATCAATCCCAGAAAAAATTTAACCATACCTGCACTGTGTGCCCTCAGCAAGTACAGCTTGCTCCACCATTCAGGGCTGTTCAAACTGTGGCTGCTGCAGTGAAGCAGTCAGTGCCTGGTCAGGCCATCAGCAGTTAGTCAGCACAAGCCTTCAATTTTGCTTAAACCATCAGTGGCTAAGTGATCAGGGGTAGGGAGAAAAAGCTATTGAGGAACAGATGATGCCAGAATTGTATACAAGAATAACTAGACATTTTCTAATGTTTTAAACTGATTAAGCTTTTTACTAGTTTTGACCGTGGAATTTGCCTTCTGAAACAGCATTTACCCGTTTTTTCAAAGACTTATGAGTGCAAGAGCTTAATGCTAATTTGTTCACTTAGGTTATGTATGTGTCTGACTTCTTCAAAGTGAGGGGATGTACATTTCAACCCAAAGAAGATTCCCATACAACCCTGCATGAGACTCCAACAAATGGAAATCACTTCGGCAGCAATCATCAGCCATGAAAAATGAATGACCCACCTCACCTGTCTTGCTCTGAAAGAAAACAATTTCACAAGTCTAACTATGTAAATGCCTTTAAGGGACTGCTGCTGCTCTTGGATGCTCACTTTACCTGTATATAGTAACATCTACCACAGTTATTGTATATCTACACTTTACATTTCTGTTGGTTCAAGCTTTTGCTTAAAAGAAAAAAGCTATTCAAATTGTAAATTTTTATTGAAATCCAGTAACAAGTTATATTACATACACTGCTGTTTGTACATGCCTTGTTGAAACAACTGTGGTTTAAGTACACACCATTAAAGGAAATTACTTGAGAGAGGCGTAATGTGAAGCTGATGAACTTGCTCCGTAATGTGAACACAGTATTGTTTGTAGAAGAGACCCTCTGTTACAGATAAAGGCTTGCAGCAAACACAATATCCCTCTTGATTTTTGTAATCCCTGTAAAGAAGGAGAAGGGTATTAATATCCAGCAGTCCTGACACAAGTGCAAATTTAGGTAGTTACAAGCATGTTAGCAGCACTAAATAGAAGTCACTATACATCCATTTCAGTCAAACTTTGTTAAACTGTCAGTACCCACCAAAACATGACCTCTGTAAGTCAAACTCTAACACAGGTGTTATCTGGAGAGGTAACAGAGGGCACTGATGTAGCTTACCATGAAGTCAACAGCAGAAGTTTACATTACCAAATCATTCACCCTCAGCCATCGCTACCTGTGCTGCTCCCCCACCCCAGTCACTGTTCTTTCATGTGCTTTCTAGAATTACTTCTTGCACTGTGGCAGTGAAATACATACCCTCTGCAAACTTGTTTTCCAGCTCTGTGTTCCCAATGGCTTTTGCAGCATGGCACATCTGCCGAAGCAGTTCCTCCAGCCGCCTCATGCAGCGAATTATGCTACCTGTATGAAAGAGCAAGGGAAAACTTTGTGTCACTTTGTGCCACAGCATGCCACTGAGTAATTCAGGACCAAAGCAACAGTTCCTTCTCCAAGCCTGTTCAATATATCTAGAAGGCAAGGGTAAGAACAGCAGTATGTCCTAAGCTTGGTTTCTCTTGGCACAGTAAATTTCTCTGTCAGGCATTTCCTTGAAGCTGCTTCCAAATGCTTGTCCTGTTCTACTGTCTTCAGTCTCTAACTAGTATCTAGTCATAGGAGTTTCTGGGCTGTTAAGTCTACTGGATTTTTCTTTCAAGTACTTGCTAAGACTTCCCTCAAAAACATGGAGGATTAGGGGATTCACAAGTTTGCTGCTTCAGTAACTACCACAGATAGGTGTATTTTGGGGATTTTTTTATAATGCTTAGTTCCTTAGTTGGCAGAGGCAGTGAAACAGTAACTGATTTACCTTTCTACTCCTGTGCCACTCAAGAGTCCATGGACCACTCCAGGACTCAAGTGCATGCTTCCAGTAATGCACCAAGATCTCTTTGAACCTAACTTGCAGGTCAGCCTAAGTCACTGCTACAAGTTTCACAAAATGACCCTAATGCTTATGCTCTTCTGGCCACAAGCAAACAGTATCCTGTTTGGTCACTTCCTCCAGCAGCATCTCACACCTAGTCAAAACTACTGTCACAGTACTGCATCCAGCTCTGGGGTCCCCAGCACAGGAAAGACATGAAGCTATTAGAACAGGTCCACAGAAGGCCAAAACAAGGTTAAGAGATCAAACAGCTCTCCTCTGGGGACAGGCTGAGCGAGCTGGGGTTGTTCAGCCTGCAGAAGGCTCCAGGGAGACTTTATTGTGACCTTTCAGTACTTACAGAGAGCTGATAAAAAAGATGGGGATCAACTTTTTAGTAGAGCCTGTTGTGACAGGATGAGGGGTAATGGTTTTAAACTAAAAGAGGGCAGACTGAGGCTAGATACAATGAGATTATTTTATGACATGGCTAGGTAGAACACAGGAACATGCTGGCCAAAGAGGTGAGAGATGCCCCATCCCTAGAAACATTGAAGCTCAGGTTGGACAAGGCTCTGAGCAACTGGACCTAGTTAGTGGAAGATTTCCCTGATCACTAAAGGGGGTCTGGACTATTACCTTTCTATGGTTCAGTGAAATATTATCTCTAGACAAGGCACATTACCTGGTGCAAAACTGTCTATATGAAAAGCACATTCTAGAAAGCTCTGGGCAAAGTAAGAAGTCATGAAAAGTAAAGTAACGCTTCTAAAAAACATTCACATGGCATCAGTAGGCCATGTAAGCTTCTACAGTCAGAAGAGTCTGTGTAAGGGCAGCAGCCCGTAAAAGCTGTTGTAATGACATGAGATGAACAAACACCCATGTAACCTGCTGGACACAAAGCAAATGCAAGTGAACTGTGGGCAGCTCCCCCGAGCATGGCCACACTGCAGTGTGCCAGGCCCTGGCTCAGCGGTCAAATGTCCTGCTCATCTCCATTTACAAGGCTGACCCTGACAGCCTTTCCAGGAAATACTTACTTACAGGCAGCATAGCTGGGGTTGTTGCAGAAATATGGGGTTTTTTTTTGCAAGAGGAAAAACTGCATTTAAAAAATAAATTACCGTTGTTTATACTTCCACAAAATGAACCAGTTCATCTGCAGTTAACTGACAGAATACTCAGCTCAGTTTAGCATTCAGCTTTAAAAAGCTTCTCCTGTTTTTCTTTCTTCCCAACACACAGATTTCAGCCTCATGACAATGTATTTTCCTTAGCAAACCAACACTGCTCCAATCTGTGGCAACCACACTTGGTCTTGGAGCACTCAGGCTTATTCTGATTTTGAGATGACTACAGTTCCTTGGCTAACCAGAGCAAACTACCCTGGGATTCAGAAACACCACACTGCATTTAAGGCAAACATAACTTACAGTGGATGCCTGAAGTGCTCTCCTTCCTTTTGGACAATATGAAAAGGGAAGAAACAAATCACTCATCAACCCCTGCCACAAGAACTGACCTCAAAATAGGCCCAGAAAATCTAATTGTGAGGAGCTGACACTATCAACTATTTGGTCAGCTTTGTCCTAGTCATAGTACAAGTAGGGCAAATGGGAAACATTACTGCCCTGTGTACTCTGAACAGTCAAGTGTCAGTGTAAAATCACAGGCCAGCTACTGCTGCTTCTGTGTTCCACTTACTCAGGGTACCTCCTCAGCAAGTGGAAGGCTCAGATACTCATTGCAACAGGAGGAATTTGCTGAATGAAGAATCAGAGACTGCCTGGATTGCTGCTGCTCACAGGCAGCCTGCTTCAGAGAGTTTCTGGGTCTATGCATTCTATTACATTCATGAATTCCCTTGTTTTTAGGGGCTCCCATTTCCTAACAAGAGAACAGCATTTGAGAGAGCAGCAGTGACAGGCACAACTTTGAAAGAGATTTTCAAGTATCAGTCATTACACACAGACTTGCAGGACTGGCACACCTATCCTGCTGTCCCTCACAACTCTCAACACAGCTGCTAGAAGATGAAATTAGGTTTTTTTTCATTCTGGTTTGACCTTCAGGTGGATGACTTGTCTTTTTACAAAGTATCCGGGCTTCAAGTCATCCCACCTTTTAAAAATGAAAACTAAGTGTTCTTCAAGGGGCAGTTTCTAGTACTCCAATTTTAGGAGCGAGATTAACCCATGTGACAGGTTACATCTAGGTTTGACATCTATCTGCACTGCACTGCTATGATGAACCATCCAAAACTGAGACATGACCACTATCTCACTTCTGTCATCACTAAGTCAGCAGGAGGAACCATCAGCTGGTTATAAAGTAAACAAAACACTTGACTGTAAAAAGAACAAGCACAAGGGCTGTACTTGACACCAGCATTTAGGACATGGTATTTTCCCTGTAACTAGAAAAAGTAAGCATTACCTTTTGTTGCGATGCTTAAGATTTCTGAGTTTAGTGGAAAATTTTAAAATAGAGAGATATCCCTTTTAAAAAATCTTCTTAGATTCTAAATTAACAGTAAAACTATAAATTAACATATGTAGTAAACAATGTTTTCCCCTCACTTGGTTCTAGCCATGCAGACACTTAAATACATCTGAGTCCATAAATGCTGTGATCTGTTTCAAGATTATTCAGATTGACCATTCCATGTTGTGGAATTACTGTCTCACACCTCCTAAAGAATAGCTGATTGACCTACCTTCAAACACATCAGTCATTTTGCAGATGTGAGCAAAGTTAGCTCCATTTGCCCATGTATAGACAACATCCATTAGGTTGGGTTTGAATGAATTTAAGTAGTTTTCTTCATCAATTTCCAGTTTTGCTTCTGCTGACACCTTGGCTATTCTTTTTGCACACTCCTTTAAAATAAAATATTTTTAATTTATGATATGCTTAGAATGTTTAACTGACAAAAAGACTTGCAGATTATTAGGTACTTCAAATTATTATGTGTATTATTAGGAAACCTATTATGAGGCTTCCTTTTTAGTGTGGTAAGCAAGATTGTAAAGGTTTTAAAGGCATGTTCTAAATTAGCAAAAAGATTTCTGGCAAACAACACGTTATTACACATTGCAAAATCACATGTAGTTCCAGCCAAACCCACTGATGATCCAAAATCAGGTCTTGAACATGCACTTGCTACACACTACTCATAAACATAACTCATGTTAATGTTAGCCCTGAGCTCAGGGATCTGTAATTACCTGCATTTGCCTCAATGGTCCTGCCAATTGCTCTGTCAACTTTGGCATTTCACTGGACTGAAAAAGAAGACATGAAATCATCCCACGTGTGCCCAAATTAAATGCAAAAATAGAAGTTCAGTGTGTGATATTGCCATCCTAAATTATTCCAATAACTTCTCCAACCTGTTACCAATCACTAAAATTACTGAATTCTCCAAGTTTTTGTTCCTTGAACTAAAAGAGAAAACCAAATCTTTCTGTACAGTATCCCAACATTATGAAAAATGCTCTTGCTTTCTGGATACTTCCAAATTCCTTCTGTTTAGCTGTTTTGTACTGCCAAATAAACTGCCATTTACTACTCTGACTGGTGCATGCTTTTCTTTAAGAATATAAAAAGCAGATGCTTTTAGTAACTTACACATCAGTGGCAATGTATGAAAATGTGGCTGATCAAAACACAGCAACACTCAAGCTGTTTAGATTCAAGTGCTATTGCTGAGTGAACCACAATATTCTAATCAACAGTGGCTTGAGCTTGCCTTGGTGTTCCTCCTCCTGACAAATGTAGTCCATTAGCAGCTGCTAATAACTTCGTCTGGAAATTTTATTGTTGCTGCATTTTCCTGGTGATGCTAACCTGATATACAGCTTGTAGGTGGGAAAACAATGACATCTGGTATTAAAATGTCTA